CAATTCCTCACCACCACTCTCTCCTCAGACAGAAGCTTCTCTATGTCTCATAATCCTGAATATAATCTAGAACTAAGATCCAAGCAAATAAATTCAGTGTCTCTCCAATACCCCTTATCACACTGTGTAGCACTCGGTAGGAAAGTTGTAAATAAATCAATTTCTCACGAGACTCCTTGTTTCTCAGTTAAATAATTTGTCACTTTTCTTTGTGCAACACACCAGTAGTTGTATTATTACAGCACTTAATGCTGGCTTTAAATAAAAACTGCTTCAAGTTTTTATTTATTTTACCCAAGGATTTAACAGAGTATTAAATAATTTCTTGCATAAAATTAAAAAAATATAATGTTCAAGTATTTTTAGTCTTAAACTAAGAGCAAAATAGAGTATATTGTCTCAGTAAACTGACAAATTCACTGCTTACTCCAGCAACTGATCCAAAGTGCCAGCCAGTGAAAGCCTAGCTAAAGAACTGCCTGACACAAGCCCAGTGAAAACAAATTCTCAGAGGAAAAGGTAAGTATTTCAAAAGTTTACTCAAGCCTCACTTAGGAACATGCATGTGAGGTTGCAACAATGATTAAAGCAAAGTTAGGTTTGGGGAGGCATTATGCATTCACGATGACCTAAACTGCCTATGAGATTAGACAGTGTTTATTAAAAAGACAGTGTTTACTGAAGAGGAACATTGAGAGTTCCTATGGAATGAACAGCTGTAATCACCAAAAAAAAAAAAGAAGACAGTCAGAGAAGAGGCTTCTAAATGGCATACATATAACCATTGTTTGTTTAGAAGCCAAAAGCAAGCTTTGGTGAAACACAGTCACAAACTCATAATGTTTATGTTAAATGATTAACCGTTTGATCAAATGTTTAATTTTAGCAAATAAAACTGAGAAAAGAGGCAGATTGGCATGGTAAGGACTGATTATACAAAAGTGACGGGAAAATCTAGACTCAGGAATAAACTCTGAATTCGTGCCCCAAGCATTTTGTGCAGGCCTATGTCTCATCACACATGATGAGTATCAGAAAAAGGCAGAGCAAATGGTAACATCCTGCAAAACCCCTGCTGGCATATTCTCAAATAATACTGCCATCAGTTTTAGCTGACTACATTACCTTATAGTTGCCAGAACTAGGATGAGATGAAAGTAATCATACTATGTTTTCAATCAACTTCCTGCTGGCTGCCACTATTTCAAAAATGGAATTCATTTGTTTTATGTCTATTAACATATTCCCTTATTTTCTAAGGCGTTAAATGCAGTGGTATGATACCAGTCTGGACAATAAATAAGATAAGCAGCAGTCACTACAGTAGAAATAGAATTACAAAAATGCTACCTTCTCTGACATACTCCTTTGAGAGCACATGCTTCCACCAGCTTACAAGCCTCTTTCTATGCATATTATCATTTAACAGAAGTGTCCTCAGCCCTCTGATGAGCTACACATAAGTGAAAGCTTTATGGAGTCCTTTAAAACCCAAAGGGAAATTGCTAACATGTCAGTCATTAAAAATCAGCCTCATCTCTAATAAGCAAAAAGGCTTAACTGGAATATAACACATCCAGTAATATTTTCATGTCTTTATAAAATCTTCAACCTTGAGTTCATATACACTATAAGTGAAAGGTTTCTGAAATCCAGCAGTCTAAGAAAAAAATAAACATCACATGATTCTATGATTCTCTGGTCTGTTAACCAGGAAAATAAGAATTTTTCCAGGTCATAAGGATGAGAAGTTAAGCACACCATACTTTAGATGAAGCAACCTAAAGTAATGTGCATACTGAACCCTTTCCAATCTTTGTACACTAAACCTATTCCAATAAATAGTGAGATAGTCACTACTGAATGAAGTTGAGAATATAAAAATAGGGAGAAAGGCGAGCAAAATATTTCCAAACACTAAGTTGTGTGAATTTTTCATAAATTACATGAATACTGATGAGGTTTCCCAATTGAGATTATCTGGGTAACTGAAACGATTTTGTAAAATATAAAGATCATTTCAGTACTCTATTTAAACTTTACTTGAGCAAAAATGACAGACTGGAGATTTTAAAAAGAAGGGCAAGTCTGCAGATTTAAGGATGGATTCCAAGATCTTCAACAAAAAGCTGAAGCAAACGTTAGCTGTTGACCTTAAGCAGGTATTTCAGAAGTTCTTAACAGCCCCACTCAGAAGTCTCTTCTTTCAGCTGTTCATTTTTCAGTCTCTTAGATCCTGAAACATCAAGAGTTTAGTAGTTTTCCAGTCTCTAGAGATTCTTGAAACCTAGAGGATCTGAATTTCTAATATAATCCAGGTCTTTTAAAAGAAGAACTCCTCCAACTTCAATGCAATAGCACATACTAGTCTGCTTCTGTAATCTCTTTGAATGCCACCACTATCAACATGCGTCTCTGGAGCTACTTCTATCCCTGTTCAACCGATAGCTTTAGAATAGTCACCCTCAGCTTACTTCAATTTTAATACTTGTTTCAGTATTTTCCTTAATGTTTCCTGCCATTGTGGGTTACTGCAGAAAGCCTGCATCTTACTACAAACAGTTTTGGCTAAGCATTACATAAAATCTATTTTTTTTTTAAAAAATCATCTTTTATACTTGGTAAAATYTAGACCTTATTGTTTGACCCCAGACAGAACTGTACCGCTACCTACACGGCCTGGGCTCAGTCAAGAASAACTTTGAAAGGGTTCTCAACCTATTGCACCAGGAGGGAGCAGGAAACATAAGACAGTACTATTCCTCTCCATTATTTACAAATTTAATGAAATTTACTAGATTAAATTACAAGTTTCATAGCTTTAAATGTCCTGGCCCTGTTCCAAAATGACGTGAAAGTCACAGGCAAGATGCTGCCTTAAGACATGTTGCTGGTCATAACCCTGGCTGACATCTGGAGCAGCAGAATTTCAACTTCAAAGGAATATGTCTTTTGGCTATCATAATTTACTTTCTTAAGAAAGCTGGCATAAAACTGTAACCCCTTAAGAACTCCTGACAATGCCATTTCAACAGAAAGGCACATCTGCAGTGATTTACCAGAAAATCTGTTCAAGCACTAACAAGGCCTAGGTAAATAAGGTCATGTAGACACTTAAGCTTTTTCAGGACTGAGAAGTACAGCAATCAGCTCTGGAAACTGACAGCAGTTTTTTAAAGTGTAAAAATAGATATGTAGTTTGCCACGGTGTATTGAAATGCACCTGGCAGACACTTAAAGAGACTGAAAAACAGAGTAATTCATTCACAGTGTTGGTGGAAAAAGTGAGGGTTTTGTTCCACAGTCCTGTCTTTCAAAATTATTATACAAAACCATCCCTGCATGGATGGTACTTTGAAGGGGAACAAAAAGGGGAGGGCAAAAAAATGCCTTTTGGTATCTATTTGTGCAAGGGAAGCATGGTAAAAAAAAAATCAGCTTTAAAGGCAATGGGTTTTCTTGAGAGCCTCCTGTAACTATTAAATAGATCCTTGAACACAAAGCACCAGATTTTCTTCTCATTATCAAAACACACTGAACTAGCCAAGAAGTTGAGCTGAAAGAAAAAGTTCAACTTTCTACAATTCTCCCATAAGTATCACGTTACAGAAGTCAGTGCACTGTATTAGAGATAGCAGAAACTTGTTTTCCATTACTTTACAAAAAATATCAGACCCTAATATGGGAGCCTAACAAAACAAAAATAAACAAAATAATATACTTTGTATTTATAATCTGTCTTGCAAGATCACTCCCAACAGGGCCATGGCGTTTGTTGCAATTCAGGCTTCTGTCATAATTCAAAAATGGGATTTCATTTAAAATCCTGCCACTTCAATAAACCAGCCAAATGTACAGTGACATCACTAAATCACTCTTATTGCATCTCTTTTCTCTCAGCCTCCACTTCCCCAGAGTACTTTAAATTGCATGACATAAATCCCAAGAAGGTACAATCACAGACAAGTGTAAATCTCAGGTGGGCCCTCAAAAGTCTATTTAGTCACATATTCTTTGAATTTTCCATAAATAAGAACATTAGGGACTAATGTTGCTGTGATAGACACTAAAGACACTTTACGACGATGTGTATCTGCCAGAATACCATCTCCCATGGTACATCTGATTTCAAAAAAATAAATCAGAAACGGAAATCTCTTCAACAGACACGACCCTAGAAGTGGTAGTTTAGGAAAGAACAGGTTTGCTCTTTTCTATCACCTTTGGCAAACAGGAATGACCCCTACTTCCTTCTTCCTAAAAGGGTATCAGCCAACAGCTAAAAAGGGCCCTATTTATTATGATCCACCTCTCCTTCATAAGGTGGAGAAAGAACTATGTTTTTGTCCTTAGCCTTTTTTCCTTCATTAATTATGCTGCCCTGTGTGAATTGCAGCGACAGCTCCCCATTCCCGGGCACAGGGCAGGGATGTGGCAGAGACACCCGGCAGGGCACCCAGGGGCCCGCATTATTCATCTGCGCCTTTGAGGAGCCACAGGCAGGCCCCGGAGCGCAGCCCGCAGCCCCAGAGGAGGGGCGGCCTCTCCAGGAAACCTGCGTGCCTGGGGAAGCTGTCGGGCCTCCCCCGCCGGGAAGGCCGCGGTGCCCGGGCGGCGGGGGGGCCGCGGGCGGCCTCGGCACCCCCTCCCCCCCTCCCCGCGCCCGGGGCCAGCGCMGCCACCTCCCCCCGGGGAGCCCGCTGCCTCTAAGCCGGGAGCCGCGACACCGCGGTCCAAGCCCCCCGGGACGTGGCAGCCACAAGCAGGGGGACATCCCTCTTCCGAGGGGGAGAASCCCAGCGGCCCGCCCGACAGGGGCTCGGGGCCGCCCCCACCCCGCGGCGAGCTGCGGTGCGACCCCCGCGACAGGCCCGAGCCGGGGTTAAGACCTAGCCCGTCCCCTCCCGCCCGACCGCGGCCCCCCGCCGCCTCGCCCTTCGCCTGGCCGCTCGCCCCCCTCCGTCCCTCTCCGCCCCAGCCCAGCCCCGGGCCCGGCTCACCCCCAGAAGCCGCAGGGGCAGCGCGGGGGCAGGCTGGGTGCCTTGCTGCGCTCGCTGCCGGCGTCTCCCATGGTGGGGCCGGGGCGCGGGGCGGCGGCGGGCGGGGGGCGCGCGGCTCCCGGCCGGGATTCCAGGCCGGTCAGCTGGAGCCGGGCGGCACCACTGGGGAGGCGGCGGAGGGGAGGGTGCGGGGGGGCCCGGCCGCGCCCTGCCGGTGGGGTGGGCAGGGGAGCGGAGACGCGGCGACACGGGGACGCGGAGCTCCGTGCGGCGACGCCGCCCGCCCGCCGGTGCCGGTGGCCGCCCCGGTGCCGCAGCGGCGCGCGCCYCTCTCCCCGGAGCGCCGGTCGGCCCCTGGCGTAACAAAGCGTGTCCCCTCCGACGCCGTGGTTCCCCCCGTCCTGAGCGCGATGGTTTCGTCAAGCTACCAAATCAGCTGGGAGCGGCATGTACCACAGCACATTCCCGGGGGAAGTTGGGGTAGACCGAGTGCGGGAACTGGGTGGGAAGTGAGTTTGGAGGGCACCCATAGACTTGAGAAGAGAACAGCATTTTCAGTGAGGAGCCCCAGGCAGAGCTGGGGCCCGCAGAGCTGCCTGGAGCCGCTGCCCTCTTTTGCCTCTACCTATAGGTTGGGCACACAGTGGTACAGCCAGCGACGGCCTGTGGGGTGGAGGTGCCGGTGTCCCTCGCACATGCGCAGACGMGCCCCCGACGCGGAAGTCGGTCGGCAGGAGCGGGTCCCGGGGGGCCGAGCCGGGACTGTCCCGAGCTGCCTCCACCCGGCCCCGGGCTTCAGCTGAGCCGGGAGCTGCTTCACCGAGGGATACTGAATATCTTTCACTGGTCCTGGTCCCTGCCAGGCCGGTGTGTCCGGGGTGGRCCGGCTGTGCGCGCTTGAGAGCTGTCCCCGGAGGCTGGGCGGCGCTGGGGGGCTGCGGTGCGTTGCAGGGTGAGGACAGGGACTTGTTTCCTCTGGGCTGTGTTTGGAGGTAGGTCTGGTGGGCCMCGAGGGCGACGTTTGGCCTTCTGTTTGCCTTACTCTGTAGATGTTCGTCCTCGGTTTCCCTCAGTCCGAAATAAGGCCCTGTAGGTGTTTGACGTACTCGGCGGTCTCCTCGCCTGTGGTAAACGCCACTTGCTGCATGAGGACACRGAGCTGTGGGCTGGCTGCAGCCGGGAGAAGGCAGGCGGCTCTGGCCCTATTCTCTGGGACCTTCAAGAGGTAAGGTATGGCAGGGASGGAAGATCACAGCCGGCACGGTCATTACTGGCTGGCGCCCTTTGACAGACAGGAAAGGAGAGGGGATTTTCCAGAATCTGGACTTGAGGACTGACTAATGGGGATTGTACTTCTGGTACTGGTTCAGCCAGTAGTGTTGAGCAAATTACAGCCTTGCACTCTGTGTACCTTGGTTTTGTTGGTGAAATGGAAATACTGCTGACCCTCCACTTGAGATTTCGCATCTGAGTGGAAAATGTTGTGGGGTACTGCTGTGTCATTAATGGAGGTGGAATTTTGATCTATTCTTGACTGCTGTTGGCCATCTTATACTTTGATTTTTGCTTTGCWCTTAAACCCAAGGTTATTAATCTTTGAAAATAATAAACATTCTTAACAAAGTTCAGAGTATGTGGATCTTTTTGAACAATAAATAATTTTGTTAAAGATACGTTGTCTGTACTATTAAGCTTCCTAAAGCATTTTCTGTCACATTAATTCTTGACAGAATAATAAAAATAMCAATAACAAAATACTGTGCACACATGCTTAAAACTTTTTAATAAAAACTTGGTATTTAATTGAAATAATGTAAACAGACTTTTTGTGAATAGGCTGGTTCATGACAGTTTACCAATGATGGTGATTTTATCAAACCGTTCTAGCCTGGGGTTGCCATCCCCACTGATGGAACTGTCTGCCCTCTCTAGAGTGCCCGTGGCTGCACACCACCGTGTGCAGTGAAGCACCCGGGATGCCTCTTGGCCAAGCTCTCTGAGATCAAAACTGAGGTGCTGAGGCAGCACTGCTGAGTTACCAAGAGAAGTGAGTACATGCAAAAAAATAGCCCTGGTCTTGTTACCTTGGCCCTTTAAGCCACTAAGTCAGCTGGAAACTAAAATGGTCTCTTTCATGCCAGCTGCCTGTACTACTACCAGAGGCTGTAAACTCCCCTCAGATAAGGAGTAGCTTTTCAAAGATGATCTAATAGGCTTTATGTCTGTAATTGCTATTAAGGTAAGCTCATTCTGAGTTCGCTTTCAACTATCAGAAMTGTCGTGGAGGAGTGCTCTCTCTCCTCAGTACTCTTGTGTCACTTCAAATAAATCTTGCCTTTCAGTACCTGAAAGGAGCCTACAAGAAAGATGGAGAGAGTCTGTTCACATGGGTGTGTAGTGACAGGACAAGGGGGAATGTCTTTAAACTCACGGAGAGTAGATTTAGATTAGATAATAGGAAAAAAAATTAACTGTAAGAGTGGTGAGGCCCTGGAACAGGTTGCCCAGAGAAGCTGTGGATGCTCCTCCATCCCTGGGAATGTTCAAGGCCAGCTTGGATGGGGCTCTGAGTAACTTGGTCTAGTGGAAGGTTTCCCTGCCCATGACAGGGGGGTTGGAATTAGGCCATCTATCTTTAAGGTTCCTTCTAATACAGGCCATTCTATGATTTTATGAGTTTGTAAAGTTGTGTTGGGGTAATGTCAAAATTCCAGTTTTCCAAGTAGTTCAAATCTTTAAAAATCCTGCATGGGTGTGGTATTTCATTCCAAARTTAAACACAAGAAAAGCATGAGTTTAGGAACAATGTTATTACATTAAGCAAACATGAATTAAGCATGATGCCAGTGAAGATACACAGACAGTTTACTCTGGCTGCCACTAATGCTCTAAGAAAAATAATCTCAGGGACACATACACGATGGACTTCAGGATTATAGTGCAATTAAATACTATGGACAGAGGAGAGCATGTGCTTTGATTTCATGCCATGTTTGTAATAATGTATTTGTTCTTCTTTTTTTTTAATATGACTTTTGCAAYATTGGTTTTGTATATTTGCAGTATTTCCTACTTTGTTTAAACAACAGAAAGTTACCAATGTACCAGTTCAGCACAGTTTCCTGAAAATCTAGTGTGTTAATCTGTACCTCCTTTTCTAAACCCTTTAATGTTTTGATTTGTGTCATGTGTCTGCTAATCATATCCATCCATTTGCAAGCACCAGAAAGTCTGTTTTTGTGTTGAAATATGGCAGTGAGGGGAAGCACAGCTGAGTAAWGTTTCTTTAGAGGCTGGCAGGGAGAAAACTGGTTCAGCTGATTTAAAATTAATGCAGTCATGAACAGGGCATTGCAACCTCAATTCAGTGTGCAGACTCTCCCTCAAACAGATCTCTTGAGCCAGGCCTCTGGCCTCCAAGGAGTTTCAGTGCTAACTGACATTTTCTCTGGCTTTTTTCATCCAGAGACTGAGCCCTGGCCGTTGTCTCAACAACGTACAAGGATCCACAAATAAAAGCACTTAGGAAACATTTGTAGGGATATGCAGCATATTAGTTGGACAGGGCTGGGAATGTTCCTATGCARAAAGCCATCCAACGGCCCAAATGCAACAAAGCATCTTTCAACCTTTGGAAGCAAATATGCATTGTAAATATGCATTAGGTGGGGGGAAAAACCTACTGAATGATGGGAAGGTAACTTGGAGAAGAGTGATGCCAAGAGTAATGAGCAACACTAAGCACATTACAAGAGAAACAGCTCATGCAATTTTAGTTCTGTGTATCTGAATGCATGAAGGAGATTGGGAAGGTGCTAATCCTTTTAAATGAGACTAGTGACCCTGCAGCTATTCTCCAGGCATATTTTTGCAGACAATTCAGAGAATACAGAGAAAAGCAGCCAAAATACAGGCTGCAGACACTGAAATACTTTAAAAAATCGAATGTTTACTTTCTGGCCATTGGGGGAGAGATTATAATMATATATTCTTATTTAAAATTGTCAACAAAAATAGAAGGTATTTGCTAGTAGAACACGCAGAATTTAGTAAAAAATAGAAGGAGATGTCTCTAAGGAGAGGAATGCTTATGACATATGCAGAAAATGTTTCATGGTACAGTCTGATTTTAACCTCTCACTGAGCTTCTAGCTCATTCTCAGCAGGGCCCCATTGCAAGATTAGATGAGGTAATAGACCTCACAAAATCAGGAGGCAAAACACCACCAAATTTAGAAGCATCAGTTAAATACCATTGTTTCTCAAGTGCTCTTTTTTTTCCCAGTATGCTAGAAAMGGTTGTACCTGAATATAATCAGAACATTTGGGGGTGGTTTATTTTAGTATAAACATGATTGCCTCACTGAGATACATGTGCACAACCATAAAATGGAGCAGGTGGAGACTGTCAAAGTATTGTACRTCTTCTTTCTCATCTTGAGTTCTAAATTACCATAAAATGATAAAAGTGACTCGTGATGGCAGTCTGTTTGAGAGACTCTTGAACTGATTGAAATAATCACCATGTTTTATTCCTCTTCAGTAGACAGATATTCATAGTGAAATCTTTTCTTTTGGAAGATCATTCTTGTTAAAACCTGTACTGAGGCTGAGAAATAAAATGAGCMTGTGGGAAAGGGCAGTGAAGAGGACATGTCTGAGCTCTAGCCATTGCAAACTATAAAAGTGAACAATTAYGATGATTCACTAGAGCCCAGGGCATGGGCTACAGACCATGAAGGCATTAACCTGTAGCAAGTCAGCAACATAGATCTGACCCCAGAAAAGGTGACTGAACTATGCCAAAGGCTGGCTGAATCAGGACTGAGGCTGCCAGGTTTTCAAATGCCTGCTTCACTGCATAGCTCATTTCATTTTCTCCATTTGTAAGGCATACCTTGGTGTTTGTAAGCACCTGGCCTAGCAGGGTRTGATCCAGCTGAATGCCTCAACATTCGCTTATTCATTTAAGTAGGTGTCAGAGCAACTGTCTCAAGAGAGAAGTGCCTGCACCTTAGCCTCTGGCTTGGGCCTCAAGGAATCCAACTCAGTTTTCTTTGCTGCTTGAAGG